GGATGGGGACACATGAAAGAAGAAATATATAATATCTGTTCCCTGAATCATAAGCTTGTCTTTTTTTTGAAATGAAAATGTAAGGTATGAAAAAGGAAATATGCAAATTTTCTCACTAATACAACTGGAAGACAGTAATCCTACATAAACCAATGAAACAAACCACCCAGGAAGGCAATATTATTTCAAGCAAGCCCTCCACTCTTAAACGTCTGTATAGCTGTAAGGGGACCTTTGTCACAATGAAGAAACATCCAAGTTCAGAATATGCCCAAAGAAGACACCACCACTCAACAACTGAAACAACAGATTCTGCCTGTGGCGTGAATCCATCCTTAGGTCCATCCACACCTCTTCAGTCTTCAGCAGCCACCAGGGAAAATCTTGTTAAAAGGAAAGAACTGAACAACACGTATTTTGTCCCAAAACATATAGTTGAATGTTCAAAACTAGACAATCATTAACAACACAGATGGGTGCTAATCACAAGGGGAACCCCAAACAGATAAATGTAAGCCCTTATTTCTCAGTAATACTGAACACGGCATGGATGCTTTTGTCTTTTTGTTTCATTACAACTTAATGAAGATATAGTTAAGTCTCAGCAAGACTTATGTGTTTTTCCTTTCTGAGTTTCACTGTTATAAAACAAACACCAAAAGGTTGACATCTGATATGCACATAACATTATGTCTTCTACTTCACTTCAAAAGAAAGAAGTACTTAAACCGCAACCTAAAACAGGGCATTATCAGTAATCTAAAATGTTTTTATTTTTCTCATTTCACTTTTAGCAAGAGAACTTTTATTTCCAAACAAAGCACTATATTTACAAGAGGGATTTTTAAATATATTTAAAAGCCAAATTAATGGAACAATTATGCTTTCATAAATCACATATTATGCAAGTGTACATTTTTTGCATGTTTGTTTTTCAAGCACTTTTAACAACAGAAAATGTTGAAAAAACACTCCAAATGACTTGCACAGTACTCTCCTTGAATACACCTCAACAGCTTTTCAATGTTATAGATGGATTTGGTGCCGTGTGACTTACTGTGTAAATGTATACATCCACGCTGTCAGCCAGCTCATGGTGAGATTCTCTGAGGGTGCAATAACAATTCAAAGCCATAGTGAAAAAATGGCATTTGGAAGCCAGCAAAACAAATTTAAAACCTGAATCCCTCTTAACTTGTCTGAAGAGTTGGACAAAAAATGTTTGTAAAGTTGATAGTTTAATGTTGAGAGACCTAGCTCAGTATTTTCCTCACATTACTTAAACAAATAAAACCCACACAATTAAAAGCAGCCAGAGTTTCAAGTCAGTGAACCATTTCTAGAGCCCTGAATGGGGTGTATAGGCATACCGCCAATGAACAAAGGGAAAAACTTAAAAGCAACATGCTTTTCCTCCTTTCTCTCTCTTTCAGCTGTCAGAGACTTTGCTGTTATTTTTACCAGCAGTCAATACAGTGATTTCAGACTAGAGCCTTTTTTCTTTTTTAACTTGACAATGCCATTTCTATTTTTTTTTTTTAATAGGTATCCTATTATTTCTTGGTATTTTAACCTAGAATGTAAAGTCTCACATACCTCTGTCACAAGCAACGGCTTGGTCCAAAGTGCTGGCAATTTCACAAGAGTATTAGCAACAACAAAAAATAAGAGTGGAAAAATCCATGATCACAAGTTCTTGGAAAAGCATTTCCTACTACGAAACAAAAATCAAAACTAACAAATATAAGCTGTATTAGCAAGAAGGTCCCAAAGAAAAGTACCATTTCCCGGGCAGCGTCAGGGAGTGCTTACAACTCTCACCGGGCTCTACGAAAGAAAGGAAGTTTGGAATTAAGGCTCATTACAGGGGCCCGATCGCCTCCGATATGTGTGCATTACTTTTATTAATGTGTAGGGAGGGAACACGGTCCCAGTAAGCACATCCTCACAACTTCTTTGTCATTTCTGGTCAGGGCTGTGAAGAACTGCTGTCGCAGACATTAAATTCTTTAGCGGGGGGGGGAGGGGGAGAAGTTATTCAGTGGCATTCTGCTTAGATCGTTTATTTTCTGTATCTCTCACTTCTGCCCCTTTTTATCTAGTGATTGATTGATTGCTCGGTACAATGACCAGATGCCACCAGTATGCTGCGTTTCCCAAAGTAAGGAAACGGTTTTCCCTCCAAAATTATCTACAATTAAATCCAGACATGAAGGAAAGCATATCCTGAAGCCCAACCGCACTGAAAATCGTAAGAAATTCTCTCCAAAACAACCTTGTACAGTTCCATCAAGAGCTAGCAAACTTTGAGTGACGCAGGAGTACAGAGAAAGAGGACACAGAAGTAAAACAATTTACACTGGATCTATACTAGCGCTCTTACCTGCATTAGGTCAAAACCAGAATTTAACTGTTGTACACTGCAAATGTTAGGGGAAGCACTGCAACATAGTATCAGTTGCATGATACACTACTCCTGCTGCAAGGACTTTGGCTGTCCACCAAAAGTTCATTTTGGGAGGTTTGTGAAGAAATCATGTATTTTTGCAGACAGAATGCTAAAACAAACGAAAAATCCACTACACTGAACAACAGCCCCTCCAAGAGCAATGCGTAGCTCTGCTGCACTAACACAGGGTTCGAAGGCCAGACAGCCACAAGACAACTCACCATTGCTCCCGCTGACTTCAAGGGCTTTTTCCTGCTCGTAGAAGCTTATCTTGCACCAAATCTGGCACTTCTTGGTCCTCACTATAGGCCAATTTAACTCACTAATCTG